CAAAATAAGTGGCTCCTCATGGTCCCAACTCTCAGGGATCAATAGTTGAGAGAGGGACATCAACTAAGTAGTATAAAGTTAAACATAAGGCAGATGATGCAATGGTTCAGCTCCCAGACCCAGGAGCCAGGCTGTCCAGGTTCCCATGCCAGCTCTGCAGCTTACTGACCATGTGACTAGCCAACTGATTTTCCCCACCCCACTTTATTTTCCTCTTTTGAAAATTGAGACTGCTGAAAACAGTAGTACTTTTTTTTTTTTTAAAGATTTTTATTGGGGAATCGGGGAGATGGGAACAGTGCTGGGGAATTGGGGGAAGGGGAACAGACAAGTTGCTGTCCTTTCATTCTTCAGTCTAGTTGTGGAGGACGTTGCTTCACTGGCCCAAGTTGGCACCATCATTGCGCTCTTCCCGGGTGAGGCAGATCAGNCACTCGGCCGGTACTTGTCCACGCATCTTGAGCGTCTTCTGGACTGGGTGATGTCCTCTCCGCCATGTTCCTTCTCTAGGGCCTTTTGAGTGGGAGGCGTAGATTACATGCCCTGTAGACAAGGCTTCACCCAGTGCCCTCCCATCCTCACCTCCCGCCCCTGCCCAGACCTGTTAGGGTGCTCATGTTCCTGCTTGGGCCCTTTCCCCACTGGAGGTAAACCTAAGCTGCCTTCACCTGTCAGCGGCCTTTTTTCCTCTCCAGGAGGTGCAGAAGGGGCTCCAGGATCGAGGCCAGAACCAAACTAGGCGGCTCTTTTTCCTGAACGTGGTCCAGGCTGTGGCCCAGGACGGGGCCTGTGTGTATGCTGCGGCGGACCCAAGGAAGGGTGGGGAGGCCTCAGGCTACTGAGAACACTGCTTCTGAGAGCTGGGATTCGGCCCAATGTCAGTGTGTGGCCCAGGCATGCCGTGGCTGTGGCCGTGGGACTAAGCATTCTGACAGGATCTGGAATCCTTGGCTAGAGGTCATCCTGGGGCTACAAGAGGTGGAGATAGCATGGCAGATAGATGACTGTGGGGGCTGACCCCTCCCCCAGAACCTCTGCCCTGGCCCCTCTAGCCTTCTTCAGCCCTCTTACCCAGGACTGTGGCACACGCTCCCCCTCTGACCCTGCTCCCCATCTGTATATCCTCTTGTTCAAATTAAAGAGGAGGCTGGACCATGGCCTGATGCAAGGTCAAGGTAGGGGAGGAAACCCTCAGAAAACACACATACACTGAGCTCCTTTGTAACGCATCACCATGGAGGTGGGAAAACTGAGGCCTTGAGACAGTCTGGGCCTCATCCAGGCCACCCCTGAACAGAAGCAGCACCCACTGCCCAGGGCCACCTGTTGGGGGAAGACAGGGGTGTGACCAGGGAGCCCTTGGCCGAGGCCTGTTTCTGGATCTTGTCCTCCGTGCCAGGAAAATGTTGGATGAAGTAAGATCTAAGATCCCAGCCTAGTCCCCAGCCCCAATAGCCTATGTTCTCACCCTTGGCACTTTGACATTTTTTGTGAAGCATTCTTTGCTGTAGAGGTTTTCCCCACATTGTAGGATGTTGAGCAGTATCCTTGGCCTCTACTCATTTGATGAAGCCACACGCCTCAACAACAACCAATGTCCAAATCGCCCCTGTTTGAGACCTGCTGCTGGGTGGGCCACCCTTCTTGGGGGGCCTCATTGGACTGACCTGAGTATCCTGCCCCACACTGGTTCCTGGGAGCATTGGGGGTTCCCACTCCACCCAAACATCCTGCCAGGGCATGCCTCCACCTGGCAGGCCCAGGAGCAACTCCACCACTGAGCCATCGCCTCCCTCTCCGCCCCTGAGTCAGGCCAAGCAGAATGGGGGAGGGTATTAGTTCCCTGTGCCTACTGAGACAAAACACCACAAACCGAGTACCTCAAAACAACAGAAATCTATTCTCTTCCAGGCTAAGAGTCTAAAGGAGTGTCACTGGGCAGAAATCAAGGTGTGGACAGGGCTGTGTTGACCCCAGAGCTCTGGGGGACAATCCTTTTTGCCTCTTCCAGCTTCTGGCGGCTGCCAGTGTTCCTGGACTTGTGGCCACATCACTCCAATCCCTTCCTTGTGGTCACAGGGCCCCCTCCTCTGTGTGTGTGTGTCAAATCTCCCTCTGCTTCAGGCAGATCTGGGTGAGAAGGAACCCTCAGGAAGTGTGTAAGGACACTTGTGGACATGTAAGGCCCACCCAGATAATCCAGGATAATCTCCCCATCTCAACATTTTCACTCAATCACCGGTCACTTTGCCATATAAGGTAACATTCACAGGTTCCAGGGATCAGGATGTGAACCTATCTGGGGACCGTTATTTAGTTGACCACCCATGCGGAGAGAGGGATCTTAATCCCTGATCTGGGCTTGACTGGGAGCAGGGAGGAGGTATTCTGACAACTTGAAGAGGAAGGTCTGGGGACAACAGGTGCACTCTGAAATGCACTCAGGCAGCCTGGAGGCCATCAGCCCCTCCCAGGGTCTGGCTTTGGGAGTGAGTAAGGAACAGACTTTCTGAAATGGCAAGTTCAGTTCAGGGGTCAGGGTTGCACACAAGGTGGGCTTAGACAGAAGCAGGAGCAGAGGGGCTTCAGACCTGGGGAATCCAGAGGCTGGTCCTACAGCATCAGGACACTCCACAGGGTGGCCTTACCGTGGGCAGACTCCCCGCTACTGTCCCGATGGCTCTAGCACAAACATTGGACTTCATAGCCAGCAGGGGTGACAAAGCTTCTACCCTGGCCTCCAGCCCCTTTTAGTTTAACAAAAGTCCCAAGCCCAGCCCTCATGGGCCCAGCGGGTCCCTCCCTGAGCCATCTGTGTGGGGAGGACTGATTGGCTTAAGTCAATGGAGCCCACGCTAGGAATGATCACAAACCCCACGGGAGGGAGGAGGTTGTTCCACATGCGCTTCAGCTTTCCTGCGGCAGAAGCCCGCTTTTGTGCTGCCAGACCAGACTTGTGGTTGGACCTGGGTCCAGGGAGGCGACCCGCACCAGTGAGGCTTGAGCCGGCCTGTGAAGGCCTTGGCAGTCCCTCTCTGCAGTGACTCCCAGTGTTATGCACAGAGCATGATAACTGTTTCTGCACTCTGGTGCTGCCCTCCTGACTCCCCTTCAGCCATCCCTGGGGCGGTCACCACTAGTGAGTTGATGGGTTCTCACCCAGGCTATGGCCCGGGTTTCTAGAGCATCAGACCCACATAGCCACTCACCCACCTCCAGCACATCTGGGGTCCACAGACACCTCAGATTCAACACACCAAAATGGAAGCCAACTTTGAGGCAGCCAGAAGCTGTCTGGTGTCTGCTTCTCCCCCTTCCCATGTTATTCACTCACTGCTTTCCTTCCATGTGGGTGGCTCAGCTCTGGCTCCGTCTCCTTATCCCTCTCAGCCTTCTCAACGCTGCCACCACTTCCATCCACTCCTGACTCATGGCAATGATGAGCCTTGCAAAATGCACACCTGATGGTGCCACGAGGCAGCACGGGGCCCTCCTTGGCTTCTGGGGCCCCTGGAGGAAGCCCAGTCCTCTCCCTTCCTGCTCATCCTGCCCTTGGGGACCTGCCCAGCTCCTGTCCACATCCTGCCTAGACCACCAGCAATGCCAGCCAAGGCACACTCCCAGCCCAGCCAGGTCATCTTACAGCTGGCTCTTTAAACACCTTGTTACACAGAGGACATCAAAATCAAGCCTGAGGTAGGCCGGCCGAGTGGCGTGTT